GGCAGGTGGGCATCTTCCCCTGGAAAGTGTGTCCCAAAAGGCATTTCTGTCCTGATCCCATCAGCTGCTCTCCTGTACTCCTGCTTCACACCAGCTGCATTGTTTCTGACTTCTGTTCTTTCCCCGTTCCTTGACGAAACCCCCAGCCCCAACCTGCTTTCTGAGTTTGTGTAGCCTCCCTAGTCCCAGCCTGCTTTCTGAGCCCACGTAGCCAGACAGGTGACGGGTGCTATTCCTAGGGCTTCTGAAGTGCTGGAGACCTACAACATCCTTTTCACATGCGTTTCTGTTGTGCAGATTTGTGAGTTTATTGGCAATATGATCCAGAGCTACGCAAGTCGATTCGGTGTATTCACTGCACAGGGAAACCTTCACTTCCCAGTGGGTTTGCAGGCCTGCAGGCACAGTAGCAGAAAGGTTTTTGCCCAGAAATGGTGTCAACCTGGTGCTGTTACCTTCCCTATAGGTTGAAGATACTGTCTGTATTAACCCTCACCATCTCAATATTGCACTAGCTTTGTTACAGACCACTCCAGAGAGCTGGGGATGAGCGACTTGTTCCCAAGCTTACAGGAGGCGTTAATTCAGCCCCAGAATTTGGTGATCTACAGGTCCTGCTAGTTTACCCTCAGCCCCCAAAACAGTTAAGCTACATGTTGGTTTCAGTGTCTTTTGTTCATATGTTGAATGTTGTGGTTGGATTTCTGCCTTTCATAGCTATTTTCTGAAGACTACTGGTATGAGTACAACCATCCTCGACAGAACAGGAGAAACTTTTGAAAATAAGCCCAGCTCTGACTCATGTGCTGATGAACGACTAGGGCAGTCACTGTGGAGAGCTGCAGTAAAAAATTATGATAAAGGTAGCAGCAGGAGACAACTACAGACAACAGGCCAACGAGAAAGATGTGCAAGGTAGGAGGAGAACTGCTGTTCCTTCCTCGGATTCCTCACTGCTGTATTGTGCGGCAGCGAAAGCTGGCAGCTGCAATGGGGTCTGGTGATGCTATTTACTTTCCTGAGATTTTTTTCCACTTGCTGTTTTCACAAGCTGTCCTAGTTTTGGCTGGGATAAAGTTAATTTTCTGCTTAGTAGCTGGTACAGCACATTTTGGATTTAGTATGAGAATAATGTTGATACCACACTGATGGTTTAGTTGTTGCTCAGCAGTGCTTACTCTAAGTCAAGGACTCTTCAGTTCCCCGTGCTCTGCTGGTGAGGAGGGACACGAGAGGTTGGGAGGGAGCACGGCCAGGAGAGCTGACCCCAACCAAAGGGCTATTCCATACCAGAGAACGGCATGGCCAGTATGGAAACTGGGGGGGAGCTGGCCGGGAGGGACCGATCGCTGCTTGGTCAGTGGGTGGTGGGCAATTGCATTGGGAATCACTTGTCTGTTTTGGGGTTTTCTTGTTTGTTTGTTTGTTTGATTTGTTGTTTTTTTTTTTTAAATAATCCTTTTCATTACAATTATTATTATATTTTTTATTATTGTTGTTAGTATTATATTCTATTTTACTGTAATTATTAAACTGTTCTTATCTCAACCCATGAGTTTTTATTTTGATTCTCCTCCCCATCCCACTGGGAGCGGAGGAAGGAGTGAGCGAGAGGCTGGCTGGGGCTCGGTTGCTTTTTTCACGACACAAGGCCACCCGGCCATTACTGGTTTCCCCCTTCGCTGGAGGAGCCAAGACACTTTGTGAGGGCTAAGTTGGGGCAGAAAGCGGCCGAGCCAGGTCAGCCCTTGAAGAAGGGTACACGGGGGTGGGTGGCAGTGCCCTGTGAGGGCAGGAGCCACGCAGTGACGGCGCAGGGGACCAGCTTCAAAGACAGCAGGCAGCAAGGCCTGATGCTGCTGAGTTCTGCCTCAGGAGGAGGTTTGAGGTGGCCAAGGCTGGGCTAAAAGTGCAGGTTCCAGGCTTGTGTTTCTCTCTCAGATTGCACCCAGTGCTTTGGCCTATGGGGGCAAGCAGGGGAGCCTGCCGCAACTCAGCCCTCACCTGCAAGGCACTGAATTTTCCTCGAGGTCCTTTAACAGTCCAAGATCGGGAGGGTTCAATCTTGCCTTCACCTGAAGGGTGGCCCGGCTACATCTCGTGCCTTCTCAGAAGCGTTTGCTCTCTGCCTGGTTCTTCTGGTGAGATCCAACAACTCCAGTTCCTTTCATTCCTCAGCTTCAGATCTGTGAAGCTTTGGCACTTACAGATGCACACACGTACCCATATGGACATGCTGCTTGCTTGATGTTCTCCTAGTCGCATCCTGGGCTTCGCTGTCTGGAAGGTTTTGCTAAGCAGCGACGTGCTGTCAAGTCAGGTGTTTATCCTTAGTGCAAGGTGTTGCCTGAAGAAATACAGGTCACTTCATCCGATTAATTTGTCTATGTATAGTTTAGAATTGCTTAACATGGGTAACTCTGGTTTGCTCAGCTCCCACTCAGGAGAGAGACTGTAATAAAGTGCTGCTTGAAATCCCAGCCCTGGCGTGTCTTTAGCCTGTTCTCAGGAAGGATGAGCCAACAGAAGCAATGGCAGTTGCACCTGGTAAATCAGAGCACGTTACTGATGCTGCTGTCCATTCTGGTGCATAAATCCCCCTGCCCAATCCGTACTGAATGTTAAAAAATCTGCTGCCGTTTTAGTAATGAACACATGTTAGTTGCAGTTTTTAAAGTGGCGTTTAGAGTCTTTTGGATGCCTACCAGACTGCAGCAAACACACAGTAAACGGGAGTGCAGAGACAAGAGAAGATGGCACGTATTGGGACTACGGAAAAGGGAAGGACTGCTTGTATGCTATTCTCTGGCCTTGCCTCACAGAGGGGGCTTGGGGAGGGGTCCGGGGTACTTCGAGGGTGACAAACTGATACACCCGAAGATGGAGTAAACTTTGATCCGGGAGCTTTGAGATCAGGTCTCTGTGTGTGCCCTCCGAACCAGTGATTAGAGTTGTACGGGTGCTCCTGTCCTGTGCCTTACCCTC